CCCCCCCGCCAGGGACATTGTTGTTCTTCTTACACCACTTGTAAGAAGAAAAGGAAGTTGGGAAGGCTATAAAAAACAAAGAGTCCATGGGTTTTCTTTGGCTGAGTCGTTGCCAGGAAAGAAGACAGGTCTTCTCCCTATCAGCCTCTGCTAACGTCACAGAGTGTGAGAGTTCCCCCTTCCAGTATCCCAAGTCTATTTAATTGCAGTTTCTATTTATTAATTTTTTTTTACATTTCCCACAGAGCACAGCAGAGCTGAAGTTCAAAAATTTGATCTATAGTCATTAAGAGCATAAAGCACCATCTATTCCAACACCATTATCTTAAGCCCCAGAAAGTGACACTCAGAGAGGGGTCTCCCCTGCAAGGTGATAACCAGCCCACCAGGCCAGAGCCGATGGAGACTCGTTTTCAGTTTCAGGCCCACTGACTCTTCTGCCTCTGGGGAGGTAGGCGAGAGGAGGGAGGAGTGTTTGCCATGGCCCCGCCCCCATCCTTGCCTTCCTCCAGAGCAGAGGTGGCCTGCCCGGCATTCCCTGGGACGTGCTGCAGCGATGGGGAAGGCAGGAGGAGATGAGACGTACTTCCAGAGGAGCAGTCTGTTCTGGGTCACCGTCATCACCCTCTCCTTTGGCTATTACACGGTAAGGGCAGCGGGCCTCGGGTAAGGCCACGCGAGGGGACAGAGTGCTGCCTTGAGCCACAAGATCCGCACCTACGACACGGAGAGGTCGCGCAGGCGCAATCGCGGCTCTCGAGCGCTCTAAGCCAGGGGACTAGACCCGGGAAGAAGACGCAGGCGCGCCCGTCTGCACGCGCCTTTCGCCTGTGTTGAGATCTTGAGAAACCGGCTGCCCACGCTTTCCCTATATGAAGGCAGGGAATACTCCCCACCCCATGACTCGGTGTCTAGATCTTTCAAGATGGTGGTGGCGAAGTCGAATGCCGGTGGGGCTGCTACCTCCTATTTCCGTACAGCCAAACCCCTGCCCTCGCTGGTCACGGTCCTGGGGCTGGGATATTTCGGGGTAAGGTGTAGCGCGGGGTGCATCTGTTTTGGCCCGCCAGGCTCCCGTAGGGCGAGGGGCGCTGTTGGGGGGGGCGGGGTCTTGCGCTTGCGCGCCTGGCGCTTGCCTAGGTTATTGGCGTAAGCGGAAGGTCGGTGGGCTTGGAAGCTTTCTGCTTGAAAATGTACCCGTCCTTGCGTCCCCACGGTTACTAGGGCTTAGCCAGGTTTGAATAGAACTCAGGAAGAAGGAGGTCAAGTTGACGGACAGTTCTAGGCCTGCCAAGTCAGGATAGGGCTTCCAAAGCAGAATGTTTGAGGCAGTTGGAATTGCTTGGAAAATGGGGGTAAACCTAAAGGGTGGGTAGAATTTAATGGGTGAGAAGGGTTAGAGAGGATATACATGTTATGACATAGATGTGGAATCATGAAGACAGAGAATCTCTACTGAGAGGAGCAGCGACTTTTGTTTGGCAGACAGAATTCATTTAAAGGATACAGGAAAGATACCCAGAAAAGAAGGTTGGGGACTAAATTGTGTAATTCATTAATAACAGAAGTCAGCCAACCTGGGCACTAAGTCTGATAACCACAGAGTTTCCTCAGCATAAATCTCCCACTAGAATCGCTTTCAGAAAATAGAAGTAAAGAATGGAAGCCCAGATGACTTAGTTCAGAGTTTATTTGGTCTGTTACTTGTTCTTATAGAATCGGGATTATTTAATAGCCGCGGTTAAAAATAGATTTAAGTGACCTAATAAGCATTCTGTGCTTCTGGTTCTCTTTCAGTGGGTGATCTTCTGGCCTGAGGCTATTCCTTATCAGAGCCTAGGGCCGCTGGGCCCCTTCACTCAGTACTTGCTGGAGCATCATCACACCCTCGTGCACAGCTGGTAAGGAGAGCTGCAGAAATGGGGTGTGGACCCTGCAGCTCCAGTGTCCCTGTAGACCTGGAAGGCCCCTGGTTGCCTTCTAAGAGTGGTCCTTGTTCACATTAAAGCACCTTTCTCTTGGGGGTTTCTGTGTTAGATTTCATCAGCAGAGAACCATCACCTTAAACTAGGCTGACTTTTGTTTCAGGTATTGGCTTGCCTGGCTGATTCACGTGGGAGAGTCCTTGTATGCCATTGTATTGTGCAAGTAAGTGTTTTTAATAGGTCTTTGTCGCTTTTCTCTTGGTATCTAATATAAGTTGAGAGTAGCCACATTTAAATAATTCATGCGCTTGTAGGCCAAGAACACTCTCAGGTAGAGTTGAATCCCCACACCTAATACTGAGCCTCTCTCAGTACTCAGAGGGAGTACTCAGTAAATAGTTAATGAATGAATTCATTTGTGTTAATGAGTCAATTATTTAGTCATTTAATTTGGATGATTTTTCTTCTTGTTTTTCAAAAGTCTCTGTATAGCCCCAACTAGAAGAAAAGATTAGGAGGCTGCCTTCTAGTTTGAAAAAGAGCTGTATTGACCTAGCCCAGTGATTCTCAGCCTAGTTTCACAACTGAATCACCTGAGGAGCTTTCTCAACATTCACTTGTCTGGTTTCCAGGCCCAGAGATCCTAATGTAGTAGCCTCGCTTCAGAGGTAGGAACATGTTATTTTTTCAAGGGCTGTAGGTGATTCTGGGATGCATTGCAAGCTAAAAGTCCTGCGACTAGACCCTACTCTGCAGTTGCCAGTGCAGGATAACACAATGTGAGAGAACTGAAAAAGCTTTTCTTTACATTTAGACTTTATGTAAGCATACAGAAAGTATGGTGTAATGAAAGAGATGGTTATAGTAATGCCAGATTGCTTTGCAATTGATTTTTTTTCTTCTGGTCAAGATTAATTATCAGCTCTGTTTTTGTGGTATTACTTCCAAAAGTGGAAAATAAGATACTTTATTGTTTTAATAATAAAAGTAATGAATATTTCTTGGGTACACACTATGCCAGACAAGTGCTAACTGATTTAAATAGATTATGTTCCTCCACCTTCTGCTTTATTAAACAAGCTGGACTTTCTAGGAGAAAGCAGCTTTATTTTTTTCGCCCATCTCCACTCCCCCAAGGATTACAGTCTGTCTCCCACCCTAGCCCTGGACGAAATGTGAAGCAGGTCCATAGATTTTCCAGTCACTATCTCATATTATCTGGTCAAGTCCAGTCTATTCATTAAAACTATGAACTTGGGCTTCCCTGGCGGCGCAGCGGTTGAGAGTCCGCCTGCCGATGCAGGGGACACGGGTTCGTGCCCCGGTCCGGGAAGATCCCACGTGCCGCGGAG